GCTGGTGAGAACACGATCCAACTTCTCATATGTTGGATTTGGCAAAGTATTGGCCCAAGTGAATTTTCCACCAGAAAGCTCGATCTCCTGGAGATCCAGGCTTTCAATAATTGTGTTAAACATAAACGACCATCTGTCGTCAAAGTTACCATTGTTCTTTTCTTCCCGTCATGGGATAATGTTGAAATCACCCCCCCACCAGGATTGGGAGATGTTCCTTTCCGCAAATACGGACTAAGTCAGCCAAGAAATCAGGTTTTAGCGCAGGTTGTGCGGCACCATACACTGCCAGGAGTGCCCATTGGAAATCGTCAACCTTCGAACGGACTCAAAACTTAACCGCAAAGTATCCAGTGACAACATTCCGAACCTCCAACGTGTCACCCTTCACCCCAAGTAAAATCCCACCGGATCTTCCTCTTGGGGGTAAGCAGTGCCAATCAAAATCGACTCCTCCCGATAAGGAGCAAAGAAACTGAGAGGTAAAATTATCTCTACCAGTTTCAGATAGGGCAATGAAATCTAATTTGTGCTCTATAGAAGCATCCGCCAGAAACCTTCGTTTAGCCAAGTCAGTCAGACCTCTGCTATTCCAAAAGATTCTTTTCATATTTCATCATGAAATTTTTTAGTAGTCCGGATTCCAGCACTTCTGCGCACAGCCGAGGCCGGATATATCTTTCGGTTCCACTTGCGCTTGGCTTGTTTTGCTCATCAAATCGGTCCATACAACCAAGCGCAGTGAGCCTACATGCCTCCGGATCATTGTGATTCGAGCCCCTCAGAGATATAGAGATATAGGACTCTCATCTTCCTCCATCTCAATTGGTGTCGTTACAAGATCTGCACAAAGACTATCAAGAGCCCTAACACCCAAAGCATCTATTTCCAAATCATTTAACGGTTTAACAGCCGCTAGGTTTCAAATCAAATGAAATCCCATAGTATTTGCCGACCATCTCCCATCTCCCAACAGTAAAGCTTGAACAACGGTGCCATCCGCAACAATTTTTTTTTATCAAAGAAGGGCTTTCCCCTTTGGATTTTCATTACTTTTTTAGAAAAGGAGGAGGACCCCCGGCCTCTGCATTGCATGCGGCCACTTTATTAATAATTCACACAAGACGTTACAAAGTCATACAACAGTAAGACTAAAGCCACCGTCTAGGCAACATCTGTCGCTACTCCTATCCAGTTGATGAAGGGACGCTGATAGTCTGGGCCTAATACCAAACAGACCTCACAGCCAAACCTACCATCTAAGACCTCGGGTCCCAACCAGGACGCCTGCCGGGTATGCGGCACCCACCAGTCCGGCGCACTTCCAGAGCGCTGCCGGGTATGAGGCCGTCGCGGCCACATGCCACCAATCCATCTTCAGTGATGTACTACTGCATCAACCTTGCCCGGTCTAGCTGCCGTCGACGCCACCATGACGCCAGACAGCGACACCTCCCTGCGCGAGTCCATCCCCGCGCATCGGATGTTGATTCTCCACGGCGCCATGCCGCCGAGATCCGCCACCAGCAATGTGTAAGCTGAAGCACCGCTCCACCAAAAAAGCCTTCCACTGGTCCCTCGGTCCATGTACACCTCCACGAATGACGCCCCCAAGAGGGATATGACACCATAGCGCCGCCGTCAACTGATCTACTGATCTAGGGTTTTCCCCCGGAGGTAGCATAGAGTGGCCTTGAACTTCTCCACGGCGATGCCTTCAAGAAGGGAACGACGCAGACAGCGCCGCCACGGCCGGCCTTGGCAGCTAGCCGAAAGCAAGTTTTCACCCAGATCTGTTCGAAGATCCTCCCTCCACCATCTCGTGCATGGATTGCCGCCATCTCTGCTGGGGACTAGCCGGCCATGGCACCACCACGGTGCCTACAGCCAGCGCCGTCAGGCCCACCACGCTCGCCTGTAGATGCACACTGGAACTGCCGGCCCGCCCAAGCCCATCTAGGCAAGACCAGATCGGCGATCTCGGCCACCGCCACAGGGGCGACTCCGCCGTGGGGAGGTTGCGCCTCCGCTCATGCTGCCGTCACACATGTCGTAGGGACCCCGCCGATCCTTGCCGATGGATCTCCGCCGAACGATGTGCCACCGCCGCCCGGAAAAATCGCCACCACCGCGCGAGGGATAAGGCCCGCCGCCGCCATCATAGGCCAGGCTTCGCCGGTGAGGCCTCGGGCGGCGGCTGGACGGAGGAGGCGAGGGGAGGGGGCCTAGGGCCGGCGGCGCGATCGCCCCCTGTGTCGCCTAGGGTTGGCGACGCAGGGGTGGGTGCGTGCTCGTCTAGGTGATGGGTGCTCGTTACTGAAAACCAATATATCAGAGTATGCCATCCGCACCATGTGGTAGATAAGCACAACGGCCTGCCAGAAACTGCCCCTAGTACGTCCAAAGTTGCGATCTCGCTACTGCTAATCACCGCAGTTGTTCCGCGTAGCAGGCCGCATCCACATTCAGGGCCTGTTTGGTTCATGACTAAGTTTGCCACAACTAACCTTAGGTAAAGTGTGGCTGCCACAAAAAGTGTGGCTAACAAAATGGTCACCACAAGTGTGGCAAGATTTGGCAAAAAATTAAGCCTATGACATGTGAACCATATAACTAGAGAAGTGTGGCAAGCCACAAGTGTGGTAATGAACCAAACACATGCCTAATATATTGTGGCATGACTAAGATTAGGCATGACAACCTTAGATTGGGAACCAAACAAACCCTCAGTCTGTGCCATAGACTCCGTCACATCGGCTGAAATAATTAGCTTCTCTGATCGCTCCAAATTTTCATCACCACAGATGAAACGGAACGCGGGAGATTTTCCCATTTTGCTGTCGAAAGTCGTAACCTTTCTCTCTGACACTGCTGGAGCGCTGGACTGACCAGTCGTTGTCCTCTTCAGTCTTCTCCCCTCGACGTACGATACCCAGTCCGAGCATCTCAGGATTCCTTGCACGCGACCTGTATATATGTCAGGTCAGAACGCGGCGTCGTGAACAGTGAAACCCGGGCAGGAGTCCTCGAGTAGCCACCCACAGCGGAGCGACGATCGGTTGGCACGAAGCGACCAATCGTTCCATGGATTCTGATACGAATCTCCCAGTCCCAGCGCCCGGAGCCCAAGCCTGCCCGGGGCCAGCTCGCGACGTGCCAACGGCGACCAGGACCGATGGATCCATCGTTTGCTGAGCTACACCGAGTCAACCACATGGGACGGGGGCCACTGGACTGAACCACACCTCACTGTTTTGTGACCTTGTTGTCTCATCGACCAAGTCGACCAGCGACTAGTCAAGGTGTAGCTCGATCCACTCATACGTCTGCATGACTGTATGACGGTGTATACCATATGCTACGACGTCAGGTGTTACACAGAGTATTAATTCTCAAAACAAATCAGCCACGTCGCTCGCAAGGCAGCGCCAAAATGTAAATAATACGCACTCCAACAACCCTCACGGCCTGATGGCCCTATCGCAAGCGCTTACTTGCCATCACACTCAAGGCAACAAGATTATTATCCAGTCGAAATACATCGTACTACGCCTGTAGAACGAGCAAGCATCTCGTTGCTTGCATCCCAAACAAAGCATTCCGGACGACGGACCCATCCACCAAAACTTCACTTTCCGGAAGCCAAATTAAGTACGAGTGTCGCAGCTTAATCCAAGTTTGGTCAACATCTTCTTTTCTTTTCCAGGAACAAACAACACGTCCCCATTCAGCCTGCCTACTCTGACCTCCTCACATGGCACGGACCCGTCGAGTGGTGAGCGTTGACATCGAAGGCCCTGGCCGGGCAGACATGCATAGTCTTAAATAATGCCTGCCTTTCCAATTCCTTTTTCATTGTTTGGTGGCGGACTTGATTGGACTCTACCTACCTGCCTCGATCATGAATTGGGGTTCAATCAACCTCTCTGTCTTGGTGCAAAACATGTCCATGTTTCCATGAGCAATGTACAAAATTCGATGATGATGATGATGATACAGATTACAGATAACCAAATGGATGTAGATTAAGGTCGAGAATAATCCGGAGGAATACGCGGTTGAATTAAGAAAGCCTTGTCTCCATACCCTCCAACCTCCATCCATCTCAAAAAGAAGAGGCAGGGGCAACAACATCTGGGAGGAATCACGCAATGCAAAAGGTCAAGTTCCCACGGGAGGTCCTACAGGAAAAGGAAAGGTAGAGAGACAGCAGTACCGCACGCATTATCTTTGGCAGGCAGGCGACAGGCATGGCCTCCGTCAGTCAGTCACGGCTCTCGCCATTTTAAAATGGGAGGGATTCATGTTCAGATCGGTCGACCTACAGCAAAATGGGAGGAGTCCATGCTCAGATCCGTCCATGAACAGCACGGATCGAAACCACTGCCCAATGGCAAGCCGTGTCAACAACACCAATTGATTGATCCTACTGTAGGCGAAAAAGAATTTACAATGGCCGAGTGCATCGCCAATGCGACACATGCATTGTCAAAGATCCAACGCAACGCAATGCATGGTGTGGCCTACACCAGCATACATCGGCCAACGAAGCAAACAATGGATCGAGAGCAGAAAGAAAGATGGTTTTATTTACAGGTGGAAACAACACGCATGAGGACATGAGGTCGGTCCTGCCTATAAAAAAACAATAATATACCTGTCACTCATGCTCTTCTGGGAGTGTGTCTGCGACTGCGAGTACGGAGAGAACAAAGGATTGCTCTGGCTTGCAAGCAACTTCTGACCAACCAAGTCCAACCAGCTCCTCGTTTGTCCGCCACACGAGCCGACGAACGGGCCAGCAAACTCCATGACACACCCCAGCACGAGCTCGGAGCACACGAGGACGACGACATTTGAACAACTTCATTGCACTTTCATCGACAATCACAGTTCCAAAACGAAGGAGGGGATTGATCCTCTCGTGGCAGTGGCACCAACGTCTAACGCTAATTGAGCAAGCGGTTTTTTTTTACATACAATGGTGGCACGGAATCGGCTCAGAACTCGGCGGTGTTGCCGCACGACGAGGCCCCGACCTCGCGCTGCCGCCGCCGGAACGACATGAGCCCGTCCGACACGATGCTCCCGCCGCAGTCGTCGCCGTCGCCGCACTCCAGGCTGCTGCCGGTCAGGTCCGCCTCCTCGTCCAGGTCGCCCCGCATGGCGCGGAGCGTCTTCCTCGCCATCTCGCGCCGGACTCCGCCGGGGGTTCCCTCCTCGGCCACGCGGCGGAGGGCCCTGTCCGCGCCCGCCGCGCGCGCCAGGCCGCGGAACCGGAGGCTGCCGCGGCTCAGCGCGTAGATCGCCGCCACGCACCACTCCTCCAGCTCCGCGAGAGTGAGGCGGGTGGCGTCGTCGTGGGGCAAGAGGAGGATGCCGGACACTGCCGCGACGGCGCCAGCGTCCATCAGCGACGCGCGGCCCTCCGAGCAGGCGCCCACGTTGCAGATCACCATGAGAGCCAGCCTGCGGATGGGCGTTGGCTCGGCGGCGCTGGACGCGACGCTGAGGAGCGCCTTGGAGGCCCCCGGGAAGCGCGCGACCTTGGACTGGTTGACGGCGGCGAGCGAGAGGTGGTAGATCGCCATCCCGGCGTCGCGGCGCGCGCGCGGGTGGTGGGCGGGGGAGGTGAGGAGGTCCAGCAGGGGAGGCACCGCGCCCAGCACGCCGATGGCGGCGCGGTTCTCCTCGTTGAGTGCCAGCCCGAAGAGCGCGCCCGCCGCGTGCTCGCGCGCCTCCGGCACCGAGCCGCCCGAGCGGAGCACCTCGACGAGCGCCGGCACGGCGCCAGCGCGGACGATGCGTACCTTGTTCGCCGGCTCAAGGGAGAGGTTGACCAGCGCCGCCGTTGCGTCGACCCGCGCGGAGGCGTGCCGCGGGATTAGCAGCACACGCCGGAGCGCCGCGAGCAGCCGCGGCGTGCAGAGCGCGAGCCGACGCTCGGCGCTCTCACGGGTGGCGTCCCGGAGGACGGCCAACGCGGCCGCCACCTCTCCATCTTCGTCTGCGTCCATTACGATCGCGACCACCTCATCCTCCAACGGGTCGACCGGCAACTCCAGCTGGGTCACTTCCTTCACGGCCTCCTTGACTGTCTTCGCAGCCACATCCTCCTCCGCGGGTGTGATCTCCGAGGACGACGTATACGTGGACGTCGACGCGGCGGACGCCGGGGAGGAGTAGGATGAATTGGACGAGCTCGCCATCGCCGCCCTTCTAGTCCTAACGGACTTGGCCTCGGCCGCGGCAGCCGCGGCCGGAGGCATCGCGCGGAGCACGGCCTCCCGGACAGCTTCTTTGGACGGCGGCCGAGGCGCCGCGCGGCCGGAGCGGGCGCACCAAGTGCCGATGGCCGCCTTGAGGGCTGAGTTTGGTATCAACGCATCAGAACCCGAGCCCGCGCCGGGGGGCAAGAAGGAGAGCTCCGCGCAGGCCTGGAGGCAGGCGCGCTCGTACGTCTGACCGGAGGGCAGGATGACCGGGTCGGCCATGAGCGCGCCCGAGAGCGGGCAGACGAACTCCGGCGGCGCGGCCTCCTCCTCCCACTTCCGGTCCGGCTCCGGGTACGCGGCCGCCGCGGAGCGCGCGGGCGAGTAGGGGGCCGGCGGCAGGGACTTGGAGGAGGGGGAGGAGGGCGCGCTGCGTTGGAAGGGGAACCTCCAGCGCCGTGGACGCGCGGCACCCATGAAACGGGCGGAGCGGCGGCACTATTTAGCGGCGGCGGCGGGGGCGGGGGCGGGGCGGCAGGGGGGAGCTGCTTTTGTGGCCGGGGCGGGCATTTCCTGGGTTTGTTTAGAGAGAACTTTTGCTTTTGGGGTTTGGGTGATTTGTGGCTTGGCCGGGAGTGAGTGAGGTGTGGATGGTCGTGGTTTTATGCGCCGGGGGAGAGAGAGAGAGAGAGGGAGACGGGACGGGAATCCTTAGCCTGGAAGGGATCGCGCGCGCGTTCGCTCGAACGATATGGGTGCGTGCGCGCGCTGGTTTTGGCCATGCTTGATTGGAGCTGCTCGTGTGATCCACGGGGAAGGTGGTGGCTCGCCTGGGGCATACGGTTGCGGCCGGACGGCTGGCGTCTTCGTATGCGTTGCGAGTGAGCTCAGAAATCTAAGGAGCCCACTCGTCGAGGGCGTCATATTTCCAACTGCTCGAAGGAAGTCAAAACACCCAAGATCCAGACTGTGGTTAATTTCTTTCAAGAAGCAAACTTAACCAACAACAACAAAATATTTGCAAACTTTCTCAAGGTACAACGCCTGCCTGCATCAAAACACAGTTAAAAGTACGGGCCACATGGTCCGAACACTTTGTGTCCGCCAACGACGCACATCAAATGTTAATGGACAGGTCCGCACGTCCGAACACTTGCAGACCGGATGCGAACTTGGGAAGGTTTGTATGCACTCCAACCGGACCTCCGCCACGTAGGTGTCTGGTTGTCCGTACAAAGACGAAAACCCCACCGAGAGCCTTGCATTAGTCACTCCGTCCCTTCGGCCTTACTTTTATGCCCACATAGTCCGATACCAACTTTGCCGTTGTACCACCTACTCCGCTGCTCCACCCCGATGCGAAACCGTCTTGCATATGCCTCCTTTCCACCCTTGGTTCAACCGCTGCCTCGGTACTCTTCGCCCCTACACATTGCCGTCCATGGCGGACACCATGCTCAACAATTGTTCGAACAAATGCCATAGCCAAAATTATTGACGCCTTTGTTGTTTACTATGAAGCAAACATGTTGAATTTGGCAGCGCAATACTTCTATGGCGAGTCCATGGATTCGTCCTTACATGAGGACGAATATGAGGATGAAATGGCGATGATGCATGGGTCATTTATATTTGAATTATTATTGAATTGGAATATTTGTACAACATTATTGTAGAAGAAGGATGATATTTATCTTTAGTTATTTTAAATGCTTTGGATATAGAAAAATAGGCAGACATCTGGTGCATAGGGTTGGATGGCCACCCGCTATCCCTGGACATGTCTGGATGTGTCTGTGAACAGTTAAGGTGTCCGATTTGATGGACGGTGTTGGAGGCCCTCACAGTTTTGGTAGTACAAAGATTATAAGAGCATCAACAATTGTATTGGGCAAAGCCGCCCGCCCCTTATTTATCCGCTTTCGCGGTCGTTCGCCTCACCTCCGAATCCTCAAATCCACACACAAGCATGCAACATGGATTCAAAACCTCAAATCCATACACAAGAATGCAACATGGATCAAATACACATTTCATAATTCACATAGAACATAGGACATGGTTCACACAGGACATATAAATCTAGGACATGGCCCGGGCTTACTACACCATGAGGGCATGGGTGGTCCAGGCTTGCCACTTCGCCAAGATTCAGGCACGGGCATCCTCGTCGCAGGTCGTCATTGCGCAGCACACATTCTCCCTTTCAAGGTAGGTATGATGTCCCTTGACCTCGGGGCGCACCTCTATCATGCGTTGGTTCAACAACGAAAACTGCGGTTCCAGGGCACTGTCCTTAGAGGCACATGCACGAAAACTTGCGACTGTGATTGACAAGGTCAAGTCGGCTGTCCTCGAAAAGGTCAAGTTGACTCCGATAGGAGAGCGGTGACAGCGGCGCGTCGGCGCTTGTAGTGGTTGTTCTTGTGGTCTCAAGATCTCGATGTAAAATTTATTTACATTTGAGATGTTTTGTAATTCCGATGAATTTTTATAATAGATTTGATCATTTTCACAAGAAAAAGATGAGGCCAACTCCAACACAAGACCCCATTTGGTTCGCGTGTGTGTTTTTCCCAAATGGACACACGCCCCGGCCCAAGGCGTGGCCTCATCCACAAATTTTGTCTAATTCGCGTCCGGCCTGCCCCATTTCCAGAGCAAAATTGATCCTCGTCTTTGTCTGGACGGACGGTGAACGGACGCGTGCTCGCTCGCTTCTCGTCCGCCTTGGGCGGTGTGGCGTCCGTGCATCTACCTCCACCACCCAAATTAATTGTGCACGCATGACGGGCATTGTCTGTCGGCCACCCTGCTGCCCCTGGTCGTCGTCCTTCTTAATGTGGAAGCTGTGGACCGGCTAGTCCACAGGTTCCACTTCCGAGCCCGACTGCCTCCTGAAGCCCCAACACGAGCTCACAAACCCTAGCCGCCCATGCATTCCTCTTATCCACCTCCTCGTCGGCGCCATGGGGTGGCATTGGATCAGCAAGGGGAATGAAAGGACATGCGGTGCCCCCATGTGTGGTTTTGGTAATTGATGACATTCTCTATGGACTAATGGTTGCATTGAGTTATATTTGAAGGATTTGTCCATAGGAATTTCTTGAAGTCCATGTGTTGGTTTCAAGGAGTTTATGTGTTGACCGTGGTGCTATTAAGGAATTATCCAAAGATTGTTCATGTGATAGTTGAGCTTATTGCACGCATGTCTTGAAGAAGAAGATTATGTGATCATTCATGCTTACCTTCAAGGCATCATCCAAATGAAGAGAGTTGGAAAGGTTCAAGGTTTATCAAGACTAAGTCAAGAGTGAATCAAGTTGATCAACTCACAAAGAGTAGAAGATGTACCAAGAGGGATGAAGTGATCCCATGGTATGGTAAGCATTGTCCATTACACTTTGTGTACTAACCAATGATCTATGTGTGAGTTCTATGTGGAGTTAGGTTTGTTTCCATGGGTTTGCATCAAGAGGAAGATATCATACAACCCATGGAGGATGACATCAAGTGATGATCGTCATCAAGTTTGCGGTGTGCAAGTTCAAGTGGAGCATCACGAAGAGATCATCCTTGAAGCTTGCCGTCCATTTGGTGTCAATGAACTTGTGAACATGTGCCAAAGAGTGGCTCACCCATAGTGGAGTATGGGGGCAATCAACTAGTCTTCACCGAGCGAAGGCAATCAAGAAAGGTGGTCCAACTTGAGGGAGTCAAGATCGTCGTCATCTAGCTCAAGTGGACTTCATGCAAGGCAAAGGCTTTCCCTTGATAGTTTTCTATTTTACCGGTCTCATGGTGATAGTTTGGAGACTGGGTTATAGGATCGATAGCCGTACTATTAAGGGGGGCTCTCAAGTGAGTAGCTTCATCGTATTATTTGTCGAGAGCTCAAACAATTGCATCCTTGCATCATATTTCTTGATTCATATTTGTACTTTCTCTTTTTGATCTTTTATAGCTTGTGGTTATCTTCATGACAAGCTCTAGTACATTGAAAACGGATTTCATATGCTTCCTCTATTGCATTTTGGTGTTGGAGGTTTTACCGGTCTTATTTGAGGAAGGGTTCTCACTATTTTCTTATGGGACTTTAATATTTTGCTTATTATTGTTATTTCTATCAAGATTGTGTTAGCCCATGGCGTTAGCTTTCCAACAAACTTGGTTTCGTTGAATTTGAAGTTCGTTTGCAAAAGTTGTGGCAGTTTTTAGTGTTCTTAAAAGGCTGCAGCGGTACTACCGCGGCTACCATTGCTTGGAGCGGATGTAATTTTTTACCCCCTCTCCAGAGCAGTACTATCGCGGCTACTACCGTGGCTACTTCCACTTCGGACCAAAATCTCGTATTAAGTCCAGCGGTGGTAGGCACAGGTGTATTTTTTTAGTACCGCTCGCAAGCAGTAGTACCGCTATCCTTAGCAGTAGTACCGCTCCGGTGGTTCTACTGGACTTTTGCCTCCTCGTTGTTGTTTTTCAAAGGGCTTCCACCGCTCTGTGTGGGCTGCGAGCATAACGGTTGGATTTTTCCCCACTTATAAAAGGGGGTCTTCTTCCTCAATGAACCTTATCCTTTCAGCTCGTGTTCTTCCCCTATTGTTGACCTTCTTTGAGCTTGCTATCTCTCAATCTCTCCATGGATTCTTGCTAGTTTTGGGGGGAAGAGAGAGGAGATATAGATCCACTTTTCCACCAATCACTTTCTCCTCTATGTGAGGGGAACCCCTTGGATCTAGATCTTGGAGTTCTTGGAGTTCTCCTTCTTGTTCTTCCTCTCACTTTCCTCTCTAGCATTAGTTGCTTTGGTGGGATTTGGGGAAGAAGGACTTGGGCACTCCGTGTGCCCTTGCCATAGTATTTGGTGCATCGGTTTGAGTTCTCCACGGTGATATGTGGAAGTTACAAGTTGAGAAGCTTATTACTCTTGGGTGCTTGGTACCCTTGAGCTTGTTCCTCTTGGGTGCTTAGGCGCCCTAGACGTTGGTGGTGTTCGGAGCTCAATCATTGTGGTGTAAAGCTCCGGGCAAGCATCGGGGTCTCCAATTAGGTTGTGAAGATCACCCCGAGCAAGTTGACGGGTTCTGGTGAATGCCCCCAAGGGTTTCCAAAGTGTACGGGTTCGGTGACCGCCCCCAAGGGTTGCCGTTTGTATGGGTTCGATGACAGTCCTCAAGGGTCCCTTAGTGAAATCATGGCATCTTGCATTGTGCGAGGGCGTGAGGAGATTACGGTGGCCCTAGTGGCTTCTTGGGGAGCATTGTGCCTCCACACCGCTCCAAACAGAGATTAGCATCCGCAAGGGTGTGAACTTCGGGATACATCGTCGTCTCCGCGCGCCTCGGTTATCTCTTACCCGAGCCCTTTACTTATGCACTTTACTTTGTGATAGCCATATTGTTTCTTGTCATATATCTTGCTATAACTTAGTTGTCTATCTTGCTTAGCATAAGTTGTTGGTGCACATAGGTGAGCCT